AACTTATCCATCGTCTTTATATCACTCATCGAGTAGTCCGTGGTGGAGCATAAGATGTACATAGTACAACAAAAAGGGCCAGCGACCTGCATAACAGTGCAAAAAATACTTGGGGCTACAAGTTCAATTAGATTTGGACCTACCATGTGATTGCGTTGATGGAGTACAAATTATTATTTTTAAACAATTTAAGATATATAATTTTTTATTTATTATATTAGTGTATAAAATAAAAACAGAATTTAATAAAAAATAAATATCACGGATTAGTACGGTCCAATTCTTGCGGAAGTTAGGTCGAATCGCATAAATTCAATCTTTATTTATTTAATTTGAAGGAGCGTAAAAGAGGTTCAACCCTTTTGAGGTCCTAACCAACCGATACAAACTACTTTACTTTAATTAATTAATCCAACCTCCCATGAATAAGCAGGCAGGGTGGTCCAAGAAATTCTTAAGATTCCAAGGTCCCATTCTTCAACCATCATTTTCAATTGCAAAGCTTAATGTCTAACCTAACGACTCATAATTACGTTGATGTTTGACACATAGTATTAGACTTCAAACACAAGCATTTTTTCAAGAGCGCTTAAATAAGTGATTGAAGAGCAGTTTTTCGTCTCAACAATTACTTTCCATTTGAATGGAATAACACCTATCCGATTTGACTTTGACATATTAAATGGTGTCACTGGGGTAAATTATGAGATGCAATGCATAGAGTGATCTCCCCATGTAGATGAGATCTTGAATTGACCATTTCGTTTAATTGCTATACTAAACTAGTGTGTGGCTCTTTGATTTTTTAGGGTTTGGATTGTACAATACTGGGCTCGTAATCTGAACAAGACACGGAACGATCACAAGTTGATCACCTCCATTATCTGTCGGCACTTTAAACTTCTTTATCTTTCGCCATGTCGTCAATTAATACCATCTAATACGCTATGTCAAAATATACCATTTTAATAGTATATTTGACCATAATTGAACTTATTGTACAAGTACTTTGCCTCTAGAAACCATTTAACCTTCTTCAAGTATTTTTAACACATTTTGTTATTTAATACTACATATTAAACATGTGTAAAATTATATATGATACAGAATATTCGTTTACATAAATACTAAAAAGTACAGTGGAAGTAATTTTAATTTCTATTTCTCATTTAGTGCTTGTTTCGAATAACTTAAAAGTTGTTAAAAGTTCATGCGAAACTCGGCATTTAATTTTAATTACTCATTTCATAATACCTACAATTTTTATCTATTTTCAAATTACACATTTCATCATTTTTTATTAAAATTTACTAAAACTTATATCAAACAGCCCCTTAATATCGTCATGCACTTTTCGATTACTTTTTCCGACCAAACAAGCCACGAAGGGAATAGATTGCAGGGTCCCACCCACATGTTGTAATTAAACAATCTAATTCCTCAAGTAAGCTTTGTCAATTGCCTAATTATATCTAATCCACCCATCATTAGAGGAGTTCATTATTAGTTCCACCATGTTCTCTATATTCTATGTTGGGTGGAATTCAACCCTTGTTTGATCTCAATTATTTTTAAAATATATTTTTCTCTTTCTTGTTTTTAATCATTTATTTTTCAATAAAATAATATTACACGTAAATTCAAAATATTTTCTTATTTTTTAAACACACATTATTCATCAAAACACTATTCCAAAATGCATTTTGGGAAATAAAAAGGGGGGCTTCAAACGTGCTCAATCTTATATGAAAAAAAAATTACACTTGGCGTTATGCCATTGGAGCTTGGAGGTCTAGCATGAGAAAGAGGATTTACTTAATATTATTTAATTAAGAATAATCATGAGAGGGTAGAACCCTAAGTCTTAAAGTGTTTGTCTCGCAATTGATTTCATAATTAAAGCTCAACTCAGAATATTATGTCGAGAATTCATATTCTTGTAATTTTTGGTGAGGGACGTTTACGAAGAATAATACAAAAAGGCTTTACGAACAATACATTTATATACTCAATTCTTATATAATGTCACAAGAACTAATGCTAGGTATCGAAAATAATCTTTCAGGGTGGGAATTTAATGCTAATCAAGTTGATTTGAGCATCATTAGTCAAGAAATACTTGATACCTGCATGATGTTGTGAAGATTAGTAAATAAAATTTGGTAAAAATGGAAGTCGACTCCCTTTCTCTACAAATTTCTTTCCGACTTCTCTAAAAAAAATTATCGTTTTAACTCCCTTGCCCATGGAGGAGACGGCAACACCACTCAAACTATCGGACCCACTATCCAGAAAAAAAAAAACCTGATATAGCGGAAGATGGTACAATTTATTTTACTATTACCTAGTGTCAAGAATAAACTCGACAAAAAGCATTTGGATGGCAATCAAGATGATTTGATACTAACAATAGATGCATAATTTGATTGTTTATCGAAAAACAACAATGTATTGTACAATATTTTGAGCGAGGCTTCAATTGGTCTATCCAACTGCAAGAAAACAACAATTTTTTTGGACAAATGTCTCTTTGTCAAATTGTTCAATAGAAATATACTTTTATGTAAACTTACAAAATAAGACAATTTGCTTCGTTACTATAAAAATTACGTAATATTCTATCAACAAGATAACGATTATGACAACAAGATAACAATCTATTCACCAAATAAAAAGATGATGCGTTACATCTAAGCAAACCAATTGATGAACCAACCCCATTGGGCCCAACTCCAAAATAAAAGCTTAACACCCTAACACTGACTTGTTGTAGCCGAGCAGTATCTAACTGGTTTGTTATTCGGTCATAACCAATCGAACTCGACAAACTCGTATCGAAGTTATACAACTATACACAACATTTTGAGTATATATTATCATAATTAAATTCAAGACTAAGAACTAGAAGGTTTTTTAAGAGTAAATAAATTATTCTATGACTACACATTGGATAAGCTATTAAAGGTTCGTTTGATAGGACTTTTACTTCTTGGATAAATTAGTTTAGGCTCCATTTGAGAGCAATTTTGAGAATTGATTTTTTGATTGTTCGGAGAAAAGTGAGGGGCCACCTGTAAAAGAAGAAGTCAAACTTTAGACTGAAATAGTAAAATAACGCTCAAAAATCAATTTTTTGGAGTGAGAAATCACTCCCAAGCACCCCGCTAATTAATTTTTGAAAACTAATTTCTATTAGGCTTTCTCATTGGGAAAAAGCTATTAAAGAAAGTTATCTTGAATAAAAAAATCTCTTCTAATGAGAATTCTAATTAGAAGAAGCAATTTTTATATTCAAAACCAACTTTTAAAAAATCATGTCAAACAGAACATTTATAAAAGTTGTCACTTTTTCGACCGTGACTTGATGCACCTCATTGAACTTATTTCATAAAAGCTTGCATGAGAAGGAAGAAGAGGGAACGAGTACACTTAGAGAGTGCAGTACAACAGGGAGTTGCATGCTGTGTTTGGGGAGGATGAATCGTTCCCGCAAAAGAATTAATTGATTCTCTCTCGATTGATTGGATCACAAGGACGATGATTTACTTGAAAGACGAGAGGTCTCACCCAAGAACTTGTAGTCACCAAACCTAGAACAACAAGCGCCGCAATCACGAGACCATAAGCAGTTGCAATTCCGTAAATAACATCACATAGAAGACGGAATCTGAATCGTAGACTAACCGCAGAACACGGCCCGCCAAAACGGGTTTATTACAATCCCACGCTCACACGTTCACGTGCAATTCAACTCATCGATAATTGCGCAGGTTCTGGGCCTTCAGCTATAAAGTGGGACCTAATGAAGGCGAGTGGGGACAGTGCGTGGTGCACTTTTTTACTATTGAACCACGACCTTTTAACGAAATTACAATCATGACTTTCAAGTATTTTCACGAGCTGTTGTCTGAACGACATGTGAAAAAGGAATACATATGGGCAATTCCTAAATGACTTTTGACACTCTATCCTATTTTAGCTGCCGATATTAACCACTGTCCTCACAAAAAATAGGGATGACAATTGATCGGCTCTACCTGAATCGAGTTCTCAGCCCACCAGCTAGCTTGTCAAAAATATAGAGCTCGATTACCCAAACAACACATTGGCCAAGCAAGGATTAGCCAAACTCGTGAACCAACGAATGTTTTGATCATTTTGTAACCCCTAAAACAATAAAGTCAAGATAAAACTCAATTATATTAACCTCTTTCATTATCCAAATCTGTGTCTCTATACCTCCAAGTTTTATCAATCTAAATTAATTGATTGTGAATTATAAATGAAGTAAAAATGTAATTGTTCATTTCTCAAATGTTTATCTGTAGTACTAACTTAGAGGAATAAAAATTGTCAAGCTGTGATTGGCCACAATTACTCGACACTTGAAAATTTGATCCTTGCACAATAATGTCTAAAGTGAGTTGTGAGTAATCGTCTTACTTTTCCAAATGAGTTGGGTTATGTGAATTGTGAGGATCCTTTAACTCACACGTGTAAACTTATTTGAGCTTTACATTTTCTTAAAAGTCAAACTATGAATGGTTGTCTCAAACGAGAGAAAGATAAACCTATTTTCAACAATTTATGGTGGAGTGGTGGCATTCATTATGACAAACTTGCTCTTTGCATTCATATTGCTCCTTAAATTGGAGGTGAAAAGAAAGGAAAGATTGTCTTCAATTTTTTGCCATACATAAAAACTTCATCAATTATTTGTAAGTTTTGGTAATCGTAAAAAGTCGAACGCGATACTTTTTAATATCAAACATAATAAACAGTCAAACACAAGAATAGAATTTTTTTTTTTTTAAAAAAAAAAGTCAATTTACGTTAACTATAAGAGTAGAGTATTATGTTATATCACTGATAAATGGACTCTGACCAAAACCTAGATTCTCTCAAATGGCAAAAAACGATAAAAGGAGATTTTGGTCATTTTACTGAAGGGAAGCATTACCAGTAGTTCTGACATCGGGTGGCAATATAAATTACACATATATAGATAGAAGATAAATGGAAGAAAGAGGAAAGAAAAAATAGGGAGGGAAGGACGAGAGGAGAGGCCAGGAAGAAACTTTTCCTTTTTAGTTCTCACTTTGCTTTTCAAAAAGCAGACATATACCTCTCTCTATATCTATTTATCTCTCTCTCTCTCGACTAAATTCTTTGAAGAAGATACCAACATGTACCATTTCTAACTGTAATATTCTCTGCATTGTCTTGAAATATTCTGTAAGTGGCGTTTTTACTTCATCTGGGCTTTCCTTTTTTTGTATAATATTTATCTGGGATGTCTACAGTGTTTTTCTCTGAATTTTTCAAAAAAAAATTTAGCTTTTTTTTTTTCAAATCTTTGAATTTAATTCATTTAAATTCTGAAAGTCCTGTTTTGTTGTTGCTTTAGTTACGGGGAATGGATCTTCTTTCTTACTTGTATTGGAGGCACCCTTCATAAATATGTATTTAAGGTTGTGTCTGCGTATTAATTAAAACAGTAAAATTTAGGTATTTTTCTGTTAAAATGAATTTTGTAGTATAATGCATGTTTAAGATCGACAATTACTGGTATTTTTCCCCCAGAAATTAGATTTCTTGATTTCTTATTCGAGGTTTTTCAAAGGTTTACCTTTTGTTCTTCTTTATTTGTTTAATTTGATGTTATTTGTTTGATCGTTGAACTAAAAATGATTTTCTCTCTTCTTAAATACTAAACTTCTTTTTCAGACTGAGAAGTCATTAACTGGAAAAACTGAAATTTTTCATTTTCTTTGGAGGGTTAGTAGTTAAAGAGTCGTACTCTCGTAACAGATTCACACAATGCTACCTTTATTAGTTTGTAGCCTTTTCCTTCTTTTAGGCTCAGTTCTTCAATCCTTTTCTCCTTCAAGTGCACTGGAGCTCTCAAAATTACATTTCTGATGTATTTCAATTGTTTCCTTTTCTTGTAGTATACAAATTGTGTTATTCTCTGTATAGATTTGCGACTAATGAGTAACGTGAATATGCATCTTAGTATTGACTAATTATTACATTTCGAAGTTGATTTTCGATTTGATCTTGGATATCTTGTTGATGTATCTGAGAAAATGTTTTGTTTGCATTTTTTTTTTTAATGTGAAAACAGAACATAAAATTGGACAATGACGAGGGTAAGTCCAGAGTTTGGGGATCAGGAGCAGGTAGTTCTTCCAGCGTCAGCCGATGTGAGCTTTGCGTCTAATCAGTTTCCGAAATATAAATTAGGTCCGGATAATGAGATCTTAGACGAGGTGAAAGAGGATTTAAAGGGTCCATCTCTGAAGGAGGTGGTTGTTGAAGAAACAAACCAGCTAACAGAGCAGCACAAGCGGCTTTCTGTTCGGGACCTGGCAAGCAAATTCGACAAGAATTTATCTGCTGCTGCAAAATTGTCTGAAGAGGTCTTAATGGAGTTCTATTTTTCAATTTATGTTGTTCTTCACATTCTGAAATTATGTATGCAAAAATCGGTTTCTTTAACTGCTAAATTCGGTATTTATATCGTCGTTTGATCTTAACAGTTGCTAAATAGATAGGAAATCGGGTTCTTTTCTCCTGTTGATTCATTTTCCGTTGGATGAGAATTGATGACTTAATGAATTGTTAAAATTTAGGCTAAACTGAGAGAGGTGCCTTCGTTGGAGGGACATGTTCTTCTGAAGAAGCTTAGGGATGCATTGGAATGTTTGAAAGGACGACTGGCGGGACGTAACAAAGAAGATGTGGAAAAGGCTATTTCTATGGTTAGCATCTTATCACAAACCAAAGTTTTTGAAGTGATTTTTGATTAGGTTCCTTGATGTCAGTTGTTCATTATGTGGGCTATTTGTACATTGAATATTAATTGGGAAAACCCAACAATACATTACATTTTAACTTATGTCATTCTCTTGACCATAATACAAATCGAAGATTAATTTAGCACTTTCTTCCACCTTGTTAGTTATCCTTTGGCTTTTTACAACCTTTTCCAAGCAATGATGCATTACAATTTTACTTATTTGAGTTTGGATGATTCGGTTCTACAGGTCGAAGCTTTAGCAGTGAAGTTGACTCAAAAAGAAGGAGAGCTAATTCAAGAGAAGTTCGAAGTGAAAAAGTTGGCAAATTTTCTCAAACAGGTAATGCGGATTTATCACTCTCTTCATTTTCCTTTCACTCTCTGCAGCACACTCACACATATTAACAAATTCGTTTCCCTATTGATTTCTCAGTGTATGTCAGAAAAATGAATCTGCTTTGCTTTTCAGGCTTCCGAAGATGCTAAAAAATTGGTTAACCAAGAAAAGTCTTTTGCCTGTGCTGAAATTGAGAGTGCTAGAGCAGTTGTGCAAAGGATTGGAGAGGCCCTTGACGAACAAGAAAGAACCTCTCAAACTTCAGGGAAGCAGGTTGCAATTTGCTTTGTATCTTTATTTTCTCAAATGCACTATAAATATCTTACGCACGTGCGCATGTTCACGCTCACACCCACACACTATTCGATTGGATTTTTTTCCAATAGAGCATCTTGTACATGATCAATGCTGAAGGAAATTTCCTTCCCATATCGGGCGTCACCATGAACTTTAGTCTGTTGTTGCTTAAAATCAATAGTTTCAAAGTATTGAGGACTATTTACTCCTATGTAATGCTGAAGTTAGACTGGTTTACTTTTTGCTATTAGGAGATGGAGGAACTGATTGAGGAGGTTCAGGAGGCCAGAAGAATTAAATTACTGCATCAGCCGCGGAAGGTGCACCCTAGTTTGTTTTCTATTTCTATATTTCCATTTAGGTACATTTTGTTATGTATTGTCACTGGTAATTCGAGGTCTTTGACCTTTGTTCCATATTCTCTATTTCAAGAACTCATTACTTGTGTATAATTTTTAACATGACCTTACTGGCTTATGAATTTTTTATTTTCTATTAAAGTATTTTTCTATATTGTAAGGAGAATTTTCTTTGTTTTTGTAGGTGATGGACATGGAACATGAACTTCAAGAACTAAGAATTCAAATTAGAGAAAAATGTAAAATTTCATTCGACATTCGAAAAGAGGTTTGCTATTTCTCTCTTCTTTGCCATCTTTTGCAAATTGAATTGTTTATGACTTGTGTTTGTGAAAAGTTAAATCCATCAGCACCGTTTGTCACCTTTTTTTTTTTTTTTTTTTTTTTTTAATAGTACTTCGTGGATTCAATGTATTTTTTACCCTTCTAAAGTAGCAGTCTTTCAATAGGACTCTAGGCTACGTAAAATGGCATAGAATGCGAAGGATTTCGAAAAATGAAGTACATCTTCACATTTTCAAACTAGTTCACGATACGTTGATCATTAATTTCCTCAATTATTTCAGCCAGATTTTTTTTAATAGAAAGTTGTAGTTTAGATAATATGCTTCTCGTCTTTGTTTCTGTTGGCCGACTTTCTCTGTCCACCCCATCCAAAAAATTCCCTCCCTTTTAAAGAGGTGCACACTTGTTACTGTGTGACTAGTAAATGAGGATATCTGCTCTGTGAGTTTCCGTTACTTGAAAGACTTATTTCCTTGTCATTTACAGCTGGCAATGAGCAAAAGGGCAGAGGAAAACAAATCCCGATTATATGAGCTAAGTGGTCCTGAAAGATTAGGTTCAATTTTAAGAATTCAGCCCTGCTCAGATGAAGCAACAGATCTTTCGAAATGCTCGATACAATGGTATCGTTTGTCTTCTGAATGCAGCCGACGGGAGGCTATTTTAGGTATTATTTTTCCTTCGGTATAAGTTCCATTTTCTTACTGAAATCTGGAACTCCTCTAAATTATACCTAACCTGAAAAACCTTGAGTTAATACCCTAAACTTTTCCACGTTAGGAAAGGAATCGTGTTGGATTCCCACTTCGTCGTCCTTTTGTCTCAATAGATTTATTTGTCTTACACAAAGTCTATAATCATCTTCACCAGGTGCAAACAAATTGGTTTATGCTCCAGAGCCCATAGATGTTGGACGTGTTTTGCAAGCTGATATCATCTCAAGTGGCCAAAAGGAATCAATCACTACGAATGGTCCAATTGATAAAGGTTGGTACTTAATGATTTGTTCACCTTGTGCAACATCTCTCACTTGTAGCTATTGTTGATATCATAATGGCGGGTTCCCTTTTTAACACTTATGCTTCTTTATAAAAAAAATTTATGCTGGCAGAAAACTAAAAAGTCTTATTTAAGTTGTTTCCTTATTTCCTACAGCTGCTGAATTAGGGAGCTACGTGGAGACACTTTCCCGGAAATCAAACTGTGAATTCAGTGTAAGTGACCTTGTTTCTTGCTAGTGCACTTCACCACATGAATCGTTTCTATTATGCAATAAAAAGAACTTCTAGAATATGCTTCAAACGTCAGTCACTGATTTCTATAAAATTTGAAAATCATATGCCAAAAAAAAAAAAGATATGGGAATCGAAGTTGATACTCGTGGACTGTTATCCTAATGTAATAATAATACATTTTACTCTGCAGGTAGTTATCTCCCAGATGAATGGACGGAATTATTCATCGCATTCAGCACACTTATTTCAAGTTGGGAAAACGAGGATGAAGCTTAGTAGAGGATGGATCACCAAGGCTAGAGAATCTTATTCCAAATCTATGCAGGTATTCCTTCTAGCTGCTGTCTTAATCCAGTTCTCGATGAATACAATGAACTAAAGAAATGTGGGTTGACACACAAACACATTTTCATTTCCCACATAATGTTTCATTTTCACACCCCCTACATTCTTTATATGATGGTTAGTTTTGAACCACTAATCTAGAAGCTTAAGGTGTTGGCGAGGGGATGAACTGATTTATTTAAAAGAAAATTTGTGTTTTCACATGCCCCATCATGTGCAACATTATTGATTTCGTTGAAGGCGTGATACTTACACAATTTTAACAATTGGATGGTGGCTTAGTGGATCTCTCGTCATTACTGCTGGTCATGTTGTTGGATACCCGGGTATTGTGAATACGTTTACAAGGACTTGTAATATGTTTGGTTTCTTTTTCGACGTCTATAACTTTGGATAATCCAAAGAACTAACACATGAGAAATCTCTTTTAAGAATAGCATTACTTACAACCTTGTCCTGTCCTCAGTTCTGTGGATTTAGAGGAGGTGGCAACTCCGCCGCCAAGTCATTATTTTGGCAAGCAAGGAAAGGACAATCTTTTGTGCTAGTTTTCGAATCTGAGCGAGAACGAAATGGAGCCCTTATTCTTGCAAGGAAATACGCTCTCGACTGCAATGTAAGTAGCTTTTGATTTCCTTATCATTAGCTCCTATTAAGTCACCTAAGCCCTTTCTGGCTTCATCAGATATTCACTATTTTCACATCAGATGCAATTTTATTCTCATAAAACATCATAATTTGCAATAATGTAACTTAAATCTCGTTAATGGCAGGTTTTTCTTGGTGGACCAGACGATGATGCTTTACTTTAAACTAGACTGACTTGCGAGTATCGTACAAATGCGAGAGTATAACAAGGTTTTCAAGTGTGATTTTTAAATTTTTTGTTTGTGTTTGGAGATGTTGTCTTCTGTAATTGTAATCAAACTTCCACTAATGATTCGTATGTTTTCTGGGCATGGTTTTTGTTTTGCCTAATGATTGATTGTAACAGTTTTCTTCTAATCATTTGATGGTTCTTCGCTGCTGGCTCGGTTTTTGTAGCATTCCTGTTTATTTGTGTTTAATGCACATATTGTGATTCCTCTTTATTGTGAATTCTGAGATACATCAGTTGGAAACTGGTTATTAAAAATAGGTCTATTTCGATCCAAATATGAAATGAGATTGTTTCGCACGGGTAATCGCTAACAAATAAAAAGGTATCAGATGATTGTGTCAGGAACAAATCTCTTGAGACAAAGTCCCAAAAAGGGGTGTTTTAGTGGCAATGATTTATAATTGGAACTAAACAGAATGTCTTCAAGGGGCGCAAGCACACGAGTACTGAAAGAAATGTTTAAGTTTAAACTAAGAAATTGAATTTACATATTCTCTGTTTGAGAGTGTTTGATTCAGGGTCCTTTTTTTTATGTCTTCTCTCCCTTTTATATTCCCTTGATGATTTATTCGTGACAAATCACTTGGAAACTGCTTGATTGCTTTATAACTATCCACTCTCTTTATGGTGGCTAACTTGTCGTGGAACTGCCGTATCTAACTGCTGTCACTACTCTTCGTCATTCAACCGTTTTCAACTGGGTTTCTTGAATTTTGGAATATGATAAGGTTACTCAATAACTGCTTCAATAACTGCATTTCTGGATAACCGTAACATTTCATGTTTGCTAAGATCCTAGGCAATTCGAAGGTATGGGCGAGAACAGGGTCATCGCTCTGAGCGACTGTAAGGCACTCCATTCGCTCAGATCTTGGGCTTCTTGCAAGTTTGGGCGATGATGTTATTGTGTTCGTGGGCTTCCACTCCATTCGTTAATAATCATGGCTAGACTTTTATCCTGAATTGCCCAATTGGATTTCATTCTTTGGGCTATTTGATTTGGGTTGCACTTTTAGTGTGTCAACAATTACTCCCCAATATGGCAGAATTAATACTAATTATTAATCTTTGCCATATTCATTTTGTGTTTTTCGGCAACATTTGAAATTCTCACGAATTTCAATCATTGTTTCCTTCTACAATCTGAAAAAGTGCAACGTTACAAACCCTTATAAACCAAAAGGACACGTCATTTCATTACACCACTCGACCACGTCTATATTTCACGCTTCTTCCTCGCTATTTTACTGTTCATCTTCTTGCTTCTCTGCTACGTTTTCCAGGTAAACCTTGTCAAAACTCTACTTTGTTTCCAATGGCAGCTCCACAAACCCAACCTGATGACTCTTTTAGCTTTGAAGATTTCCAGAAAATCCTTACTCGGCCATATGTAAATCCGAACTTCCTTGCACCAGCCAATGCCGAATTCAATGGGTTCTATCTGGACCCATCATTCAATACAGCCGAAGCCGTCGAACAAGTGGCGGTGGGCTAGCTTTTCCCTTGCACTCAAGGCCCTCCGTTCCTGAATTCTTTGCCGTTGAGGCCGATTCGCGAAAAAGGTATTCGCACTTAGCCTAAATCTGATGTTCTTTTCTGTAGATGGCATGCTCGCCTTGTGGGTCATAGTCTTACCAAGGCAATTTTTGATCGTGCTAGAATTTCTGATTTATTAGAAATTGCTCTTCAACCCCCAATTTTTGACTCATTGTTTTTTCCTATTGCTTTGAGTTTTTGGTCTTCTGAATATAATACCTTTGTTTTCCCTCTTGGTCCCATGTCTATTACTTTAAGGGATGTTGGGGCCCTAGTAAATCTTCCACCTTTGGGCGATACCATTTTCCCTGGTATTTTGATTTTCGGCGTCGCCCCGAAATTTGACAAGAAATTCACTGAGTCCTACTCAAGCCTGCAAGGCTTTTATAATCATTCAAGCGCCGAACCTTTCCATGCTGAGCGTGTGGCCTTTCTTCAGATTTGGCTATGTAAATATATTCTCTGCGTGCCAAGTATGAAGCCTTCCATGAGTTACTTACCCATAGCGCATGAATTGGCGCGTGGTAGGTCGTTGAATTTGTGCTCCTTCTTTTTGGCTGCCCTTTATAGAGACATGGCTTCTCTTCAATTTCAGTTGAAGAATGGTGCATCTCTCACTGGCAGTGGGCCTCTTTGGTTCACTCAACTGTGATTGAGAGCATATTTCCCATCACTTGGTGTTCCATCCATTTCTTTTCGTTGTGCTAGTTGTTATGGGCTAGCCATTGACCCATTGAGCCCTGTAAATATGTCCACTAGGGACATTTTTTCATTTTTTATACCTTAAATTCAATTCCTTCCTTCTTCCCTTTTCCTGCTCATTTGACTTCAGATTATGTGCAACCTCCATCCACCCTGGACAGTGCGAGCGCCTCTCTGCTCGTTTGGGTTCAGTTTTTGACTAGGAGGGAGTTGTTCCATGATATTCTAACCAGAACCAATGCCAAAGCTGGGGTTGAAATATATGCTCCCCAATTTTTTGCTCGCCAACTTGGTTTTGGCCAAACTTGGCATGTTTTTCCTTGTTATTTAGAAAATTTGACAGACCGCTTTCACACCATTAATAAGGCAGAGGCACAAGCTATAGATGCTCGCAACATTCTCTTGACGAGTAAATTTTCATTAGCCCCCCTTCAATTCTAGCCGTGTCATCCATCCCCTTTTTGAACAACTCTGGCCATCAATGAAGCGCAGATTGTTTGCAATTGATGCCAATCGGGCTTCCCATTCACTGGATTCCACTTCTCCTATTTTGGTCACCCCTGTGTCCACTAGGAATCCTTCCTCTCCCGCTCGTGCTAAACAATCTATTCGTCCATCTACTTCTCTACCTACCAAGGCTACTGTAGCTAAGAGTGCCTTGAACCGCAAATGGCCAACTTCAGCATCTCCCACTTTGGAGGAGGATGATGATGACGCCCCCCTCACCGTTAGGAGAAAGGTAATTGAATTCTGTTTATTCACAAACATACCTTTCTATGTGCTAATGGTTTACTTGAAACCTTTCTATGTGTTAATGGTTTACTTGAATTTCTCAGAAAAGTTCAGCCTCTCCTTTGAAGGCTTTGGTGTTTGCAGCACCTGCCCTATCATCCTCTGCTGAAGCTGCTTCGTCCAAATCAGCTGACGAAGGGACTATGCTTAAAGAGAAACCTTCAGTCCCGGAACCCTCATCACAACCAATGGAAGAGTCACCTTCTTCCCAGGGCGCCGACCCCCCAACATCGAACCAGAAGGTAATACATTTTTTGATGTTTTACCTTTGCTTGTGCTATTGATTTCTGATTTGTTGCTTCTTAAATTCTGCAGAGGCTCCCATGGGTCTGTCCGTTGTGGTAGAGTCTTCTCGTCCAGATAAGGGGAAGTCTCCACAGGTGGTGGAGCCAACTGGTGATATGCCACTTCCCAAGATTGCCGATTAGGGCTGGACAAGGTCCGATTCGGTTCGGTTCGGTTCTGACGAGAACCGAATAGACCCGAAATTTTCGGGTATTTAGTAAGTGGAACCGTCGGGTCCAAATTTAATTACGGAACAATTCGGGTTCGGTTCCATTCGATTCGGTTCGGTCCGGTTCGGTTCCATTCGGTTCCGTATTATAATTAAATTTTTGAATATATACAAAGTTACTTTAATTTAATTAATAATATATTTAATATTAATTTTTACAAATTAACGTAGTTCAATATTATGTATTTCACGTCTTTCTTTGTTGAATTTTTCATAAATTTGATTATTAAAATTACAGAAAGAGAAATATAGCGAGCTCAAAATAATTAAGAGAGATGTTGTAGAGATTTAATTCGATTTTCTCCAGTAAAAACGACACTATAGTAGAATAACAGATTTGGATAAAATTGAGGTCAATTTAATTAAGTCGATTTTGAACTGAATATTAGAAATAGGAAAATCATATTTTGTGGTTTGAACTAAATTAACTAGTTAATAAATTTATTTAGAAAAAAATAAAATAATTTTACTTATTTAAAATAAATTAATTAAAAAAATTATGGAGATTCGGTTCTTATTCGGTTCTTCGGGTCTTGGCCTAGAACCGAGAACCGAACCATACCCGTCGGTTCTTGATTCAAATACCCGTTCGGGTATTTAACTTGAGAAGAACCGTCGGGTTCGATTCTGTTCGGTTCGGGTTTAGTTCGGTCGGTTCGGTTCGGGAGTTTTGTCCAGCCCTATTGCCGATGAGGTAACTTTTTGCTTCACTTTCATTTCGCTTCGTTTATTGTAGTGAAAGCCCTCAATGTTGGCATTTTTCTTTGCAGGGTGCTGATGACATTGTGTGTTCCATCCAGGACTTGTTCACTTCTTGGGGGAAGTCAAGACGTCTCACCCTACTTCAACTGGTCGTCCTTCTGCTTCTTCAGAGGAAGATATGAAGTTCCTCAAACAGTCGATATTTGAGTATGTGTCTTTTATGGACATGGACATCGGTCAGGCTAGTGCTGCTAAATATAAGGATAAGCTTGAGCTATTGAGTGCGAAGTTGGCGCAAGCACTGACACTTCCGTCGCTCAATATTTCTGCTGATTTTAAAGCGACGTTGAAGGTTGTCCACTCTGACATCCTCTCCTTGTTGGCAAAAATGTTGAACTGAAAGCCAGGAGTACTCAATATCTTCGCGCTGCATCTGAAAGAGAGTCTTTGCTTCTAGAGATTAACAAACCCGAAGACGAATTGAAAAAAATCTCTTCCGAAGTTATGATCGAAGACTCTCTGATGACAAGTTTGGCTGCAGAGATGAAGGAGCTTCAAGCAAGGATGGACGACTGTAAGGCGAGAATGGCTGCTAAAAAGCGTAATGCTTCTCAAGGAATTGAGCGAACCAAGTCTTTGGTCGAGCAGTACAAAAAGCTGGAGGTTGATGACGATTTTGTAGCTGAATTAAATGTCGATTCTTCTCAGCAGATCGAGGATTGGGGGAGGCTTAGGGAAAGAATTCGATCGGCCTGGGGTGAATTGTAATTAAGACATCTAATGCCTTAAATTTTTCTTTTGTAACTTCGTATCAACTGCCATTGCTAAATTTGAATGTAACAGCAACCATTGTCATTAATGAATGACTATTTTGACTACTTGCGTGCTAATTGACGTTGTCCT